TGCAAACATCTTTGAATATTTGTGCACATATTTGTGGAATATATTTGTAGAATTGTAGTTGACAGGTTAAGAGTCATGTGCGTTTCAAATTTTCATTAGATATTATCATATTAGATATTTTCTTCCCAAAAAAAATCTTTTGCCAGTTTATACTTCCCACCGGTGTGTATGAAAGTACCATTCCCTCAGACCGGGGCTGATGCTGTGAACAGACTTGCTTTCAAGTGTTGCCTCCTCCAGAGCCTCCTGCACACCCACCGCTCCCTCGTGCAGTCCACCCACCCACCCGCGCCACCGTTCTGCCGGGCCCCTGCCCTGCGCCTGTGCACCTGAGACCCTCGGGCGCAGCGCGGTAATGATGCTGCTGGTGGTTGAGGGAAGGGACTGTGGTTAGTGCCCGCTCTCACAGCCCCTGCCTCATACTTACGCACAAGCATGTTTGCTGGGAGAGCTCAGTGGATGGCAGGTGACGTCCCCACAAGATGGGACTGTATGCTCTGCATTGTTCTTTCCCACTTTAAGATTTGAGAACCTGTAAAGCTGTAGTTGGAGCAATTTTTAAAATTTATTAAAAGTAACCAGGGATTTAATATTTGCAATACCTAAATTGCTTATATTTAGAGGCTATAGTTAGATTTTTTTTAAAGGATTTCTTACTCTCGGTTCTAAGCAGGTAGGAATGTTCTTCCCCACCAGTATTAATGGAATGGGTAGTTTACTCCAGTATTTGAAGAGGGTCCCACAGGGGCCTCAGTCTTAGAGAAATAGAGAGTTTAGATGAGAGCATTTCATTCAGCAAGCATTCGGGAAGCAGCATGGCAGGCAGGAAGGCCATGGGCGGGAGCGACGCCTTTAGCCAAGGCCATGCTGACTCCTTCCCTCCAGGCGTCCACTGACCACATGGGTCTGAGGAGTTCCAGAAGCAGAGCAGAGTGTGTCCCCAGGAACGTTGTCAGTGGGTCATTGGAAGGCTTTACATTCCCTTACGTTTATCAGGCAGTGCTGTGCCAGAAGGCAGACAGGCCGCCCTGCTTGGGCGGAGCTCCTGGCTGTGGGCTGCCAGGAGCCAGGCGAGGAGCCAGCACCCACCTGGAGGGACGGGCGGAGGCCAGGCCGGACCACAGCTTCATTGTGCTGGAATGTGGTTTCACGAGGAATGCCTGTGCTCTCCCTTTTGTGAACTTTTCTGAAACCCAGCTGAGATCCATTTTGTTGACATATAATTGCAGGAGTTGATTTAATTAATTACTAAATTATATGTTTTCTCAGGTTGCCTGGAGGCTTTTTCTCCTGCTCTGGAGGCCCAAGCTTGACAGAGAAGGTAGCTTTGACAGGTTTTCTCTTAGGTGCTTTGTTCTCTGCCTAATAAGGACAACTTACTTTAAATTATTTTAAATCTTTAGATGAAATTATATTAATAATTTGAACCTAATGATGTAATGTATCATATGACTCAAATTTACAAAAGCTATATTATGTACAATATTATGTACAATTGAACTATAAGTTGCAGCAGCTGTAGCAAAGAGAGTCCCCAACTTGCTCAACAAGGTTGGGATTAACTTGTGCCAGTCTCATTGTGGGCATGGGGACCAGATTGGCGTGTCTGTGCCACCAGATCATTCAGGATGCTGGCTGGTGGGGGGCTTTAGCATGTGGCTTCCTTCTGTGGATCTGTGTCAGCTCATCCCCCAGCCAGCAGCAAGGAAGAAAGGTAGATTGGATAGCAAGTGGCTTTCTGTATAAAAAAAAAAAAAAAAAGATCTGGAAGTAGCATGGCATATATTACTTCTGTTCACATCTCATTAGCCAGAAGTTCTTGGTCATCTGGCCATACCTGGCACTGGGGGAGTAGGCAGATGTCATCCCTAGCTGGGCAGCTGGAACAAGAAGGCTTCTGTTACTGAAACAAAGAAGGGAGGAGGGTCCTGGGTGCATTAGGAGCCCAGGCCTTTCATGCTGCTTGTCCCTTCGCACTTCAGACTCAGAGCTGACCTCTCTGACTCAGCATGGGTCTCCAGGCCTCACCTCCCTTCTCCTGTCTCCTCTGAGGCTGTGAGCTGTCTGTGTATTTCTTCCTCCAAACAATGCCTCTTTCCCCCCACCTGCCATGATGCAGTCATTTTTGCCAGGTCCCTTCGTCTTCAGTCCTTCCCACTTCAATCTACCCCTTTTGCAGCTTCCCAGATGAGCTCTCCGACAAGCAGGTCCGCGCACATGCCTCCCGCGCTGTGATGGCTCCACAGCCCTCCAGCTCAGGCCCAGGCGGCCCCCAGTGGCTGATGGGCCTGTGGTGATCTGGCCTCATTTCCTCCCTCCAGCTGCTTTCCCTCAGTGTTCAGCAAGACTAAATCTCAAATGATTTGTCATGCTCACAGGCACCTCCAGCTCTCTGCACATGTTGCTTTCCTACTCTGCACCCCAAACCTCTGGGTTTAGGGCATTCCCGGCCTCGGGTCTCTTCCTGAGTGTGCCCACCGGCCTGCTCTCACACCAACTGCTCTGGCAGGCCCTTGCCCACAGTGGTGCTCAGGACATGCTTCATGAGTGGCCAGCATTGCTAACGTATTCCATTGTGGCAAAAAACAGCAGTTTGCAGGCTCCCCACCTCTTTGCCACGTCTGTCTCTTATCCTTGTATTTGTACCCCACTAGCCCAGCTGAGCATTCACCGTGTTTGAGCAGTCAGCTTGAGCTCTGTGCCTCTACTGTCTGTCTTTGGCAAAACAGTCCAGGTCAGATGCCGCCTCCTCCAGAAAGCTTTCCTTGTCTTCTACACCCCTGCTCATGGGTAGGATCTCTTTTGGTTTTGTTTACATTTTGCTTATGGCCCTTACTTCATTGTAACTTGTGTTATAGTATAGATAGCGGGTACATTCCTCACACTTCTTCCTCAAATAATGAACTACATGCTGCTGCAAGACTGCTGTATCTTCTGTTGTCACTTTCTTGTACAAAGGCACCCCAAAAATGTTGAGTACAATTGCCTATAAACAAATCAATCTTTAGAAAAGGATATTCTTTCAGATGTTAGTAAAATGGAGAAGCGTTGTAAGGAAATCATTAGATGCTGTATTAAGGGTTAGATCAACAAAGTCTATTGAATGACTGTTGTCCCAGGGGCCAGACTCCCTTTCCTCCTGTCCTATGAGTGTGGGATGCCAAGATGAGTTTGACAGACCTATCCCCGCCGAGCATTGGCCCCCTCCTCCCAGCAGCACGGACACGTTAGCACAGTGTCGCTGGGCTGGCCGTCCTGCGTGCTGTCATGAGCAGTGTGATGGTTCATGTCATGCGGCGCTGGCCTCCCCGACGCACACCGTGGGGGAGCATGGCTGTCAGTCACAATGGCTGGAGATGCTGACAGCTGTGCTCAGCCTCTGCCTGAAAACAGAAAATGTGAAGCAATGGTCAGTTGGAGAAACTATTCATTTGACTTAAGTTTTTTGTTTAGGCCTGTTAGTAATCAATACATTTCCATGTTTAATGGAAGTCCTAGACATCACTGTATTGAAATACAAATCATCACTCCAAAAAACTCAGTGGATAGACATTAAGTATTAGGTGATAGAACAAACAGGCGGGATTATGCTGGTAGTGTAGATTAAAATTTAAATTCTGTGTTTTTAAATAGTATAAAATGTTAATACCTCTATGATTTAAAAGTTGACTTATTTTTTTTAAAGACAAACTTAAATATCCTTTTTTAAAAATATTTTTTAATCTTTTTTTTTAAAGTATATTTTATTGATTTTTTTACAGAGAGGAAGGGAGAGAGAGAGCCAGAAACGTTGATGAGAGAGAAACATCGACCAGCCGCCTCCTGCACACCCCCCACCGGGGATGTGCCCGCAACCAACATACATGCCCTTGACCGGAATCGAACCTGGGACCCCCCAGTCTTCAGACCAACGCTCTACCACTGAGCCAAACCGGTTTCGGCTTTAAAAAATATTTTATTGATTTTTACAGAGAGAAAGGGAGAAGGATAGAGGTTTAGAAACACTGATGAGAGAGAAACATCAATAAGCTGCCTTCTGCACACTTCCACTGGGGATGTGCCCGCAACCAAGGTACATGCTCTTGAGCAGAATCAAACCTGGGACACTTGAGTCCGCAGACCAATGCTCTATCCACTGAGCCAAACCAGTTAGGGCAACAAATTTAAATATCTTGCTGACCTTCTGTAAACATCATCAAACAAGGGCCAGGGAACCATGTGCCTAAGGGTGGCTGCCTGACGGTTTTCTGTGCGCTTGTCTTCTGTACAGTTATGTGGCTCCTGTGGTGGGCTCAGCCTCGGCCCAGAGCTGGGGAGGCTGCTCCAGGCTGCCAGCTTACACTCAGACCTCACGACAGAACATCGTGGCCTCCATGTTATTGACTGCCATCAGTGATGGGGTGCAGGGACACGGCTGGCTCCAGGACCGCTCTCACCAGGCAGGAGTGCACCGCGTCCCCAGCCTCTACCAGCCGCTCTTTAACTCCCCCTGCCTCCCCTTTGACATAGGACTTGCTTTCTGGTTCACCACTTTAACCTGCATTTGTGGACTTGAAAGAAGACTGGTCCATTTGTTTCTCTGCGGGAATTGTGGCGTGATGGTCTGAAACAGTGGTTCTCTCTGGCTGAGACAGCTTTCTGTAAGCTGGTCCCACAGGCAGCAGCTAATGAGAATCATGTAGGGACATAATCTATTCATAGCTAGAAAAAAGTGCGCAGTTTCTTTTCTCCAAAGGATGTTATTTTTATTCCAGTCATGTAAAATGTGGTCATGCAGGCCTCAAATTGTCTTCCTTTCATAATACTCTCGTCCCATTTCATATTTCACGTGTTGCTTAAGTTTAGAACATGGTCAAACTGAGTTTATGAACTACAGCCACATTGTCTTGTATACCAATCAACTTGAAACACTATGTAATTTTAGTAAGAATGCATATTCATTGTGTTTCTTTTAAGGATCTGACGACTACTGCCTTTGGAATATCACATGACACTACACCATGAGTGACAGTAAATGTGATAGTCAGTTTTACAGTGTGCAAGTGGCAGACTCAACTTTCACTGTCCTAAAGCGTTACCAGCAATTGAAACCGATTGGCTCGGGAGCCCAAGGAATTGTTTGGTAAGTACAGTCTGTTTCAATAGTATGGACTGAGTTGTTTTGGTAATAAAAATGAGATAAAACTAAATCATCAGGTTTTAGAAATGCTGATGATGAAAATACTATTTTCTTTGCTATCGGTTTATGAGCTAAATTGAATTCCCCTCTTGCTCTATTTATATGTAGTCAGATTGTAGGATACGAACCCACATTCTTAGGATGTTGCATAAGTTAAATAGGTAGCAGGTTTTCTCTCTCTCTCTCTCTCTCTCTCTCTCTCTCTCTCTCTCTCTCTCTCTCTCTCTCTTCTCCCCCCCCCCCCATTGCCCCTGTCATTACGATATTAGAGTAATAGGCATGACAGTGAGTTGTAACAGAAATTTGGAGTTTTATTCATTTCTTCATCCTGGCCACCTTCCCCCTCCCCTTTTATTCCCATTCACTCCTATTCATTTCTAGGCGCCGCCATTGCAGTGCTTTGCCTTCATTGGCAGGATGAGGCCAGTCAGTGTCATTATCATCTCATGGATTAACCAGGAAGGGATGCTGTGTGAGGGGTTGGGCTGGCCATCTCTTCCTTGGTGTCTCACTTCAACTGTGCGTCCAGCCCAGGACGTCAGAACCGTTGGTCTGACCCTGAACCTTAGTCTCTTGCATGGTAAGACAGTCAGCTGCAGCGACATCACTGGCCAGCTCAAGGTAAAGTTTTTCACATGTTTTCTAGATTACCCTTCTCAGCACTTCCCAAACTTTTTATCCCTTAGTTTTCTGGGCTAAACTTTTTTTTCCCTTAATTGGGGCAGTAAAAACAAAATTGTCTTGCATATAAAAGAAACTGTAATGAAGCTAAGCACCCAGTATTTATAGCTGGTATCGGGGAACAAGATGAAAGAGAACTCTTGGATATTGTGGTAGGAGAATTTGTTTTCCTTAGAGGTTTTGGGTTTAGAGAATCTTCACCAGCGTTTGTAACTAATTCTGTATTGTAGAGACACGACCAAGGAAATCAGCTCTTTTCTTTGGACAAGGTGGCTGGAGGCCCTGCAGGCTAACAGGAGATGCAGGCAGTTCAGAGCTTCCTGGTCAAACTGATGTGGGAGAAGAGGCCGTTTGGAAGGAATGCCCAATTGTATCTAAAATAGTGGTGATGCCACACTATACTGGGACTGAAATCCAGTGGGTCAAGAAAAATCATAAAGTCAATGGATGGTTCCTATTGGGACACTTTGATGTTAATACAAAATTCTAAACGATAAAACCTTTTTTTCTTTAATATGTTTTTATTGATTTTTTGAGAGAGAGGAAGGAAGAGGGATAGAGATAGAAATATTGATTGGCTGCCTCCTGCATGCCTCCTATTGGGGATCAAGCCCACAACCCAGGCATGTGCCTTGACCAGGAATCGAACTGATGACCTTTTGGTTTATGGGTCAAAGCTCAACCATTGAACCACCCTGGCCAGTCAATAAAGCATTCTTTTGTTATAAAATCCATCTCTTATTTGGAATTGGACCGTAATTTAACACAGGTAATTCCGCAAGACTGATATCAAGAACATTTAATGTGATACCTACATTAAGAGCTGACTAGAAGTTTATAATTAAGTGTAAAACAGAAGGCTGTATAAAGGGTATGCAATTAAAATTAATGATTTAAAAAATATATATATTTTATTGATTTTTTACAGAGAGGAAGGGAGAGAGAAAGCTAGAAACATCAATGAGAGAGAAACATCCATCAGCTGCCTCCTGCACACCCCCTATTGGGGATGTGCCTGCAACCAATGTACATGCCCTTGACCAGAATTGAACCTGGGACCTTTCAGTCTGCAGGCCGATGCTCTAGTCCCTGAGCCAAACTGGTTAGGGCTACACATTAATAACAATAAAATCATATGCTACTTTACAAAATAGGATTTTGCAGAGATTGGTTTTGATTTTCAGTTTGCATATGCTACTTCTCATTTTTATTTTTTAAAGAATTATTTAATAAGGAAATTATATATATTCATTATGGATATATATTTCTTATTTAAAAATTCTAGTTTTGAAACAAAAGTTTCTAATATGCCATTATAAACTAAATCTTCTCTGATGAAAACAGTGATAGAATTATAAGATGGGAAGTTAATGAATTTATAAAATTTTTTAAATAAACCCATACATCCATGGCCCAATTTAAAAAAATATATATTTTATTGATTTTTTTACAGAGAGGAAGGGAGAGAGATAGAGAGTTAGAAACGTTGATGAGAGAGAAACATCGACCAGCTGCCTCCTGCACACCCCCCACCGGAGATGTGCCCGCAACCAACGTACATGCCCTTGACCGGAATTGAACCTGGGACCTTTCAGTCCGCAGACCGACGCTCTACCGCTGAGCCAAACCGGTTTTGGCCATGGCCCAATTTTTAAAAAGGGTCCTGAGATTATTCATTGGGGAAAAAACAGTCTCTTCAAGAAATGATGTGGGATGACATGCAAAAGAATGAAGCTGGTCTCTTACCTCACATTGTGTTAAAGGTAACTCAGAATGGGTCAGTGATGCCCGGCTGGCATGGCAGAGTAGTGTCAGCTTATGAACCAGGAAGATTCCAGTCAGGCACATGCTCGGGTTGCAGGTTCAATCCCCTAATCCTCTGAATAGGCAGACGATCAATGATTCTGTCTCATCATAGATGTGTAGTTTTTTGTTTTGTTTTTTTAAAAATACATAATTTTAAATTTTATTTTAGAGAGGAAGAGAGAAGCCACGTTGGCTGAAACATTGTTGTTGTTTCTTTCTCTCCCTCTTCCTTCCTCTCTGAAATAAATTTTTAAAAAATATATATTTTAAAACTGGGTCAATGACCTAAATATAAGGGCTAAAACCATAAAGTTCTTAGAAGAAAGCATATGGGGAAAATTTAATGACTTTGAATCCTTAGAAATGATACCAAAAGTATGAGCCATAAAGTTTAAAAATTTGCCTTCATCAAATTGTACATCAAAGATACTTTTAGAAGAGTGAAAAAACAACAATAACCTATAAAATGGGAGAAGAGTTGCAAGTAATATATCTGATAAGAGTCTAGTATCCAGAATACATACAGAACTTTTACAACTCAGCAACAAGAACAAAACTACAATTTAAAAAAAAAATAGGCAAAGAATTTGAATAGACCTTTCCCCAAAGAAAATATATAAATGGTCAATAAGCACATGAAATGATGCTCAGCATTAGTCATTTGGGAAATGTAAACCAAAACCACAATGAGATACCACCTCACACCCATTGGGATGATCATAATCAAAACCAAAAATAATAAATGTTTGACAAGGATGTGAAGAAATTGGAACCCTGTACATCGCTGGTGAGAATGTAAAATGGTGCAGCCACTTACAGGAAAATATTTTAAAGTTATTCAATGTATTAAACATAGGATTACCATATGACTTATTAAATACTCCTAGATAAATACCCAAAAGACTTAAAAACAGATGTTCAAAACTAAAACTTGTACACAAATGTTTATAGCAGCACTATTTCAATAGTCAGAAGGTGGAACTAGCTCAAATATTCACCAATGAATGAATGGATACAGGAATTATGTAATGTGCATACATGGAATCCTATATAATAAAAGCATAATATGCAAATTGACCAAAAGGAGGAACGACTGATCACTATGACATGCACTGACCACCAGGGGGCAGATGCTCAACACAGGAGCTGCCCCTGGTAATCAGTGCCCTCCCACAGGGGGAGTGCTGCTCAGCCAGAAGCCGGGCTCACAACTGGCGAGCACAACAGTGGTGATGGGAGTCTCTCCTGCAGGTGAGCGGTAAGGAGCGAGGGGTCCTGAGCTGTAAGAGAGTGCAGGCCGGGTTGAGGGCCCCCCTTCGAATGCACAAATCTCATGCACCGGGCCTAGTGTTATTTATGAAGAGGAATGAATCCCTGATGCATGCTACAAATGGGTAATCCTAAGAAACATGTTGAGTGAAAGAAGGCAGACATAAGGTGGCACATGAGTCTATGTGAAATATCCAAAGTAGATAAATCCATAGAGATGGACACAGATTGGTAGTTAACAAGGGCAAGGGGAAGGAGTAGTGGGTAGCAACTGCTTCATGGGCATGGGGTTTTATTTTGAGGTGATGAACACCTTTTGAAATTACATAGACATGATTGTTTAACATTGTGAATGTACTTTAAAACGCTTAATTTTATGTCTGTGGGAATCTTAGCTCCATAAAAATTATTTTTAATAAAAGTAAACTGGAAGGTGCCTTAAACTAAGAATATTGGTCATTTTAATGGATACTTAACTCCTAATACTATTGTATTGCATATAATGGTATTTTTGTTATATTATGTATAAAATATGTTGTAATTTTCTTGTAGTAGCTTGTTATATAGACATTGACAGAATCTTAATAGTAATTTCACTTAACTCTTAATATTTTTATTTAAATGATTTTATGACAATTTTGTTAGTATTTGTAGGAGCAGTTTTCATCTCACATACAGAAAGGTAGGAAAAAAGAAATATGTAGAGACTACAATTTTTATACCATCCTAAGTCTCATCTCATCTTAAGTTCATACCCTAAGTTTTGATTCTAAGGAAAGGTCAAAAAATATGTTTTGCTCTTTTCTGCTCAAGAAAGAAGTTATTACTTTAAATTGATTATGACAGTCCTTTACGAACCCATGCACAGCTAACAGTCATGATCTTTAATGCCAGTAGTTAACTTTGTGACCCAAGCCATTTATTCATTACCAAATTAAAATGTTTTTGCTTGTTTTATTTTTACTGGATACATGGAAAAGAAACTAGTTAACTTGATTCACATTATTGATATTTCCTTTTAGAGATGTTTATACAATTATGAAAATTACTAGAGGCCCAGTGCACAAAATTCATGCATAGTGGGTTGTCCCTCAGCCCCATTTGTACCCTCTCCAATCTGGGATTCCTCGAAGGATGTCCTACTGCTAGTTTACAAGGATCAAGTCTAAACAGGCAGTCGGATATCC